TGACTTGAATGACTGAAAACAACATAACTGGATCAACCATTACCATGAGCTTAGCAATGAAAGCAACATGAAAATAATATATTTTACTTGTCAGGAGTTTCTCTAACCGACAACCATTACCATGAGCCTAGCAATGACACAACGTTTCACCCATGTTGCAAAGGCCATCCTATACTTTGTCGGAGTATATGACGATATCGTGACTATGGATCTATCTAATAGCCTTCTCAGAGGCAGTGAGGAGTCGCATGAAGAATCAATGCTATCCTATCCTATGTTGGCTACATAGTTTTATGGGTCTTCCTAATCATATGAGACTCTAACCCAACTCGGTGCTCAATACTACTTCCAAAATAAGTGATATAACTTTATGCACAATTCACCCATTACAAAGAATGGACTTGTTACTTAATTGAAATGCTTTTTTTCAAAACATTGGACGTGTTTACATTCTTGAAAACATGCACTTATGAACTTATTTTTCAAGTCCAATAATCAACATAGGTACATATATAGATATATAAACATTTGAAACTATTAAGTGTTTATGAAATATAACCTTTAAACTTTTCTCTTATCTTACGCTACTTTGACATGTAAATGAAGACATGAGAATGTGACATGTAGAGTTTCTCAAGGATTAATGAAGACTTTAAGAGTTAAAATCAAGAAGAAAACGTAGGTACGATTTGAAAGAATGCATACAGGACGAAGAATGGAGAAGAAAAGAACCTGGCGACCCTGGCGCACTGAGAGGCGTGGGGCGCCAACCCCAAAACTTCTGACTAGTGTTTGGGGCGCGCTGCGCCAGGCCCCAAACTACTGGACAATTGTTCAGGCGCTATGGTGGCGCGCCTCCCCATGTCCCTGCCCAAAAAATTGACAAACTTTCTTGCTCAATTTCAAGTCCTAACTCATCTAAAATCGATTGGTTTCTTCCATACTCTCTTTAATTTATAGACCCAACAGAAATTCATTGAAAACCCACACAAAATCTACCAAGAAACAACACTGATACGCAAGACCCTCACCTCATGAACTCAAAACCTCCATTGTTAAAGAATGGGGCTAAAACTCAAGAATTTTTCGATAATACTTACACCTATCTTAGTATTAGAGGCTTCATAGATAGTCAAAAGGTCGAGGAGTCTCTCATTATTTCTTTTGTTGTTGAGATGTTTTGAGGACATGAGACGGTTAACTATAACTTGTTAATTATTTTCAAACATTTATTGGAGGTGAGTTCAAATTGAGTTTTTAAAGTTATTTATGCTTTTGGAGTTCCCATTTTGCTTGAGTTAGTTTTCCGCTTGTAGTCAGTCAGGATGAGGGTTTACTTGGGGACCACCAATGGTTCTCGAGTGTCGGTCACGTCCAGAGTGTAGGCTCGGGTCGTGACAAATTAGTCCAACACTATGATAGCTTTACATACCTCGAACAACCAGGTTCTTGAAGAATCTTGAAGAAGAACTTGATTAGAAACCTTGAAACCCTAGCTTGAAGGAGAACAATAAAGAAAATCTTTCTTGAGATTCTTGAATTACTTTCTTGAAAACTCTATGGTCAAGAATTATGATTTTCATTAATGATTTATTATTGTATGAAGGAATTTGAGTTGTAAATAATGAAATTCTTGGAGAATGACTTACATTGAAGAAGAATCTTGAAAAAGATTGGAAGAATCTTGAATGAAAGTCCTATGCTTTGATTTTTCTTAAGGTTTTCCTTAGGGTTTGAGAGAGAAGAGAATGAGAGATTAATAGAGGGATAATGGTCTGAAAAATATCCCAACTTTGGTCGAATTTGTTGTTGCGATACTAAACTTTCATGAGGACCTATTGCCTCCCTAACTATTTAATATCGTAGTTTAAACATATATATTTGCCCACATAGACATAAAAAATAATGCAAAATTATAAATAGTAATGTGTCCACGTGGGCACATATATACCTTTAAAATACACTATTAAATAGTTCATGGGGTAAAAAATACGGTATTAAATAGTCTAGGGAGGTAATAGGTCCTTATGAAAGTTTAGTATCGCAACAACAAATCCGACCAAAGTTGGGGTATTTTTCAGACCCTTATCCCATTAATAGAAATGAAAATCTGATTGTTTTGAGTCTTTAATTAGTCAAGAAATTTGTTTAGGGTTTTCTTAGAGGTAAAAAACAAAAACGACCCCTTTTAATGTTTTTCCGTCAGCTAATTCGTCACTGCATTGTATCAGGTTACTAAAATGGTCATAACGTTTTACTCAAAACTTGTATTGTTGCGAAATTGGTAGCGTTGGAAAGAAGATTCAAATACCTTTAATTTGATAGGTTATTGGATATGTAATTAACTATTTATATTCTAAGAGATATGGTCATTTGAAGTTAACCCAAGTAGAATCTTACAACAAAATTTAATCGGTAAGGAAACATTCAACTCAACTTTGTGCTAGGAGATTCTAGTGACCTTAATTGATATCCAAAATCATTCTCAAACTAAAGAATTGACCTTTACACATATGGGCAATTTAAGAATCATCCGATACGACCTTACATGTAAATGAATAATAGTTCTGGTCTTAACTTAGAAAAAAAATTGCAGTGTTACAAAAACTTTATTCATTTCAACATTCAGTTTGAACATTCCATCACAAGCATACCTTTTTCTACAAAAATACCCTTTTTCACAATTACATATTAATTAGATTTGATAATCTGCTTAGAGCCTGTTTCATTAAGAAGAAAATTAGACAATTTTTTTTTTTTATGGAAGAAGTATAAAGTACGTTTTTTGATTAAATAGACATTTCAATAAAGCCGTGTACCTTATCCTCCAACTATATTTTCATCGTAAGCACATTATATTTCATTTAATATACACTAACGATTAAACATCAAGATTTTAAACTAACATGAATTTTAAAAGAACAAGTTGATGCACAAGCGAGACCTATTCTCTAATTTGTTTGGGTTATTTTTAAGATGTGTTTTTTTCTATAAATGTTATAATTTTATTTCTGCTTTTTTTTAGGAGACAAATATAGTTTCATACAAATTTGATTAATAGTTTTGTTTTTAAATGTGATACTATTGTTTTTTTTTGTAATTATTAACTATGAGATTTTAGTGTAACAATGATTGTGTGTATGTCTTACAAATGTCCATATGTGCTTGAATCCATATGAAAAATAACTAGTACTATTTTTTTAGATGTTAAAAGTTTACCAGTAGAAAGAAAAGGTAAAATGTAGTTGCTAAAACTATTTATAATGACTGAAATTTGTTGTTTTACTTTAAGATTTAAACAACTAAATGACTATTAACAAAGAGGAATTTGATCGTTGTAAGTGTAATGATCGAATTAATTGTTGTCACGAAATAATATGTAATGATAGAATATGTAATGTGGTCGCTAAACCGTTAACGACAGAATTTTTAACGTTTATTCAATCATTATAATCTTTTAACGATTAAATTTGTACTTTTAATGAATAAAATTTTCTTTTGCTAAAGGTCATTTTTCTTGTAACGTGCTGCCTTGGTGGTGGACTCAAAAAAGTTATATAGTTTCACTAATATTATTTATATCCTTACTTAATTTGCCAAAACTTGTGCAACACTTTAATACAACACTCCTATTAAATATGGCACATGCTTACAAGTTACAACAGTTACCGTCCTATTAAATTTACTATCTCCATTTATTTTTATTTGTTCACTATACTAAAAATAATTGTCCATTAATATTTGTTCAATTAGAAAAATCAAAAGATAATTTATCTTATGTGTCTGTTTTATCCATGACATTAAATACTAGTATTAATTATATTATTCAGTAACTAATACATTTTTCAAAGCAACTTACATAAATGACTATATTTAAAGAGTTATTGAAGTTCAATAGCTATAAATATGTTATTTAACAAAAATGACTATAATTTATGTTTTATTCTTACGCTTTATTTTTGTATTTTTTTATTTTTATTTTCTATTTATACATTGATACAGTTTTAATTACAATATCTAAATAAGGAAAATGTATTATTGGTACAATTAGCACATGAATACTTTGAATTCAAATTGGTATCTCTATATACAAAACTTAAAGTATTAATATATCAAGAATACAAGTATTTATAAAAATTCAATGTATTAATACATCAAATACGATAAAGTATAACAATATAACATATGAACACGATAATTTGAAAAATGGATACACTATTGTTAACCAAAAAATGAATATACCAATGTTAAACAAGAAAAATGGAAAATAAAAGAATGTGTAGATATCAAAGTGTGCAAGTATTGCGTTGTATAAAAAATTAAAAAACGAACAAACGTCAATCTCTTTTTGGTCAATTTTTTCCTATAATACTTGATGTTTGGTGTTAACTTAGGTATTAATCTCGGAAAGAAAACTCTTATGCTACCTCATTGACAACACCCTTATTATCTAATAATCTGCAATTTTGCCATGGAAAGGAAAGTGTAAACGCAATATAATTTCATGAAAAGCAAAATTTTCAATCGAATCCTATAAAATTAGATGAAAATATAAATATATATACAAATATAATATTCATAAAAATGAGGAAAATCAAATCGCAAAAATCGCTCCTAGAATCATGCAAAAGAATCTTGAATTGGCCATAATAAAAAGTCAATAAAAAATGCACTAAATGGGTAATCCAATCTCGAGGCATGATACGGCTATGTATTAATGGCATAATTTGGAAATACAAAAAAATTGTGATATAAGTCAATAAAAAATGCACTAAATGGGTTATCCAATCTCGAGGCATGATATGGCTATATATTAATGGCATAATTTGGAGATATTATAACAAACACCTCAAAATCAAATAATGGAGTCTAAGTCTCTTACAAAGATTAAAATCCTTTCCAAAAATCTCATAAAATCCTTCCCCACTTCAAATCATGTTAATGATGTTGATCACCCCAAAATTTACAAATTATCTTTCTTTGATCAAATTGCTCTACAAATGCACGTCCCTCGTATTCTTTTCTATCCAATCAAATATTCCACCTTTCCTAAAATTTCCATTATACATGAACAATCATTGTCCAAGCTTTTAACTCATGTTTATCCAGCATCAGGTAGATTGGCATTTGATGGTCAATCTATCAATTGTCATGATGAAGGTGTTTTGTATATAAAGGCAAAAGTTGATTCTCCATTTTGTGATTTCCTCAAGGATGCAAAGAAAGATATTGACCTAGCATTGAATTTTTGCCCGAAAATCGATCGTAGTGTTTCTAATTTGTCTATCACTCCACTAGTTGTAGTGCAAGTGACGGAGTTTGCGTGTGGTACGGGGATAGTTTTATCTGTGAGTGCTGAACACGCGGTTATTGATGGATTCACAGCATTGAAATTTGTTTACGAGTGGTCTAAAGTAAGTAAAATGGAAATAAATATTCATTCCGATAAGATCAATTGCTTCACCTTTGACGATTTTGGTACCATGCATTTTTCCACCAACAAGTGATAATCATTTGTTAAAAAGAGTCAAGTCTCCTAGAGATGATCATTATCATGATTTAGCTGAAATGGTTGCGAGGAGGTTTGTCATAAATCAATCAGTGATATCAAAACTTAGGGAAAATGTTGGAGTGGTTTATTTCAGACCATCACGAGTTGAATTGGTGATTGCTTTTCTATGGAGAGATCTAATCAATGTTTATCGACTTAAAAATAATGGACGTTTGAGACCTTGTTTATTGAGCATCCCTATGAATTTACGTGGTAAAATTGACTTTCCAAGATACGAAAACTCCTTTGGGAATTTCGGTATTGAAGTCCCAGTCAAATTCATACCGGGAGAAACAGGAATGGAGTTGCAAGACATTTTATTAATGATCAAGGACGTAATACAAAACACCAACGTATCATTTGCGAAATCAAGTGATGACATATATTCCCTAGCATCCAAGTTTCATGAAGAAATACAAGAATGGGAAGAAAATAAACAAGTGGATGTGAAGTGGATGTGTGCATGGCATCAAGTTTATGTAGGTTCCCTATTAATGAAGCTGATTTTGGTTGGGGAAAACCTTGCTTGCTAAGTTTAGGATTGAGACGTAGTGATATGTTTTGGTTGTATGATACACCATGTGGGACTGAAATTATTGTTCAAGCTGATTTGAAGAAAGACTACATGGACATGTTTGAATGTGACAAAGATGTATTGTCTTTCACTTGTGATGAGTAGACATTTTGAAGTTTTGTTGTACTTGAATAAAGCTTTATTGCTATTATTTGGACATCATAGTATTGATGTTCAATAATGTTCTACCTGTATTTTTATTGCTTGGTGTGTTCGTTTAAACGTTTATTTTAGCGTAATAAAAAATCATTAAATCAATTGTTTGTGACCTACTTTTAACATCTTGCATAAGTATTATTAAAAACGTATTGTAGTTTAAGATATGTATAAGGGTAAAATAGCAAAAAATTCCTCCAAATTAATGTTTTCCTATGAAAAGTATAAAGTATAAGAAAATATGATATATAATTTAAGCCGAAGAGAGTAAATAATTATTTATTAAATGAGGTCACCATGATATGACAGAAGGTTAATTAAGGAAATCATTTCCTCTCCAATGTTCATTAAGGTGGAAGAGTTTAAATTTTGTGCATCGTCAGTGTATAATAGACTATAATCGAAATTTTAGAGATATACCTTAATTAAACTAAGGTCCTATTTTATCCCTCTGAATTCATTTTTATATAATTTTGTACACCTTTTGACTTATGTGGCACACTCCGTGACTTCACACAGTTGAACCGCGTGAGAGATATTTGGATGCCACGTAAGTCAAAAAGATGTAAAATATTTTTTTTAAAAAATGGGTTCAGAGAGGTAATAGGACCTTAGTTTAATTAATGTGTGTCTCTAAAAATTCAGTTATATATAGTCTAGAGGGCTACTGTTACCTTTTCTTTTTTTATAATTATTAACTATGAGATTTTGGTGTAACAATGATTGTGTATGTCTTACAAATGTCCATGTGTGCTTGAATTCATATGAAAAACAAAGATGTACTATTTTTTAGATGATGAAAAATAATTACTACATTTTAGATGTTAAAAGTTTACCAGTAGGAAGAAAAGATAAAATGTAGTTGCTAAAACTACTTATAATGACTGAAATTTGTTGTTTTACTTTAAGATTTAAACAACTAAATGACTATTAACAAAGAGGAATTTGATCATGGTAAGTATAACAATTGAATTAATTGTTGTCACAAAATAATACGTAACGATCGAATATGTAATTTGGTCGCTAACCTTTAACGATAGAATTTTTAACGATCGACGATGATCAATTTTTATTCAATCGTAGATTAGGATAGAAGATTAGTTGATAGTTGAGCGTTCTCTCATTTCTCTTCAGATAGGGCTTGGTGGTCATACTTTGACCTGTCTTTTTATTAGTAGTATTAGCGTTATTGTTGTAGTAATTTATTGCTCTTCAATTTTGATTTTCATTGTTGTTTTTTGTGCTCTGATTATTGCATTATCTTGCTTTCGTTACTGTACTTTCTCCTATTTATTGTGTAACACTCCCAATTTCACATCGATTAGTTGTTGTTATTGCTCTCATATTCGTATCCCTTTTTTTAGATTGTTTGGCATACCTTATTTTAGTGAAGGGTCTATAAAAAACAATCTATTTAGCTCTACGAGAAACGAATAATGTGTTCGTACATTTTAACCTCTCCAAACTCCAGTTCATATTAAATTACACTAAATATATTATTGTTGACATTTTGGCCACCTTTAATAATAATAAAAGAAGTCGATAAAAATGCACTATAATCCAATCTCGAGGCATGATGGCTATATATTAATGACATGATTAGGAGATATTATAATAAACACCTCAAAATCAAATATTGTAATTTAGGCATTAATTTTATGAAATAACAAGTACAATCTCTGTCCAACAATAGTTGTCTGCATCTCTTAAAAAATAATAAATAATTAAGGGTAATATTACTATATTATCCTTTGACTTTATTAAGTTCAATGCTTTTAAAAATGTGTTAGATGATAAATAATATTTAATAACAAAGGTAAATAGATACAAAAAGTGAATTATCTCTTGATTTTTTAAATTTGACAAATATTATAAGACAACTATTTTAATATAATGGATAATTATTATCGGACAAATAAAATATTATAGACTAATTATTTATAATAAGAATTACATATAAAAAAGAACAAAGTATATTAAAAGTGAAAAAGTAGCCTTTTTCGACTTTGTTGTTCGGTCACTTTCCTATTTGGTGGCCACTTGTTTTCTGTTATCTTTGGTAACCCCTTAACTATTAGACTAAATGTTCAGCTTGTTTCAAGATATGTTAATATTTATATATATATTTATTAAGTAAAAAAATAATTTTTATAGCAATGTAATTTTCAGACGAAGGGTTATTGCTTGACACCCCTTGACCAAGGATGGGTCCGCCCATGGAGCACGGGCCCCATAATTTATGTCGCAGTGAATTTGATTAACTAATATTCACCTACGGTTACAGTTTGGTTTTGAACACCCCTAACTAGGCCTAACTCAACCCCAAAAACTAGCTTATGAGGAGAGGATCCAAATTCATATATGCAGACCACCAGTTCATTTCTCAACCAATGTGAAAACTTTACCTACTCTAATAGAATTACACTAGATATGTTGTTGTTGGCGTGTTGGTCACTATTAATAAATAAATAAATAAAAAGTTAATATGAAATGCACTAAATGGATCCAATCTAGAGGCATGAACTAGGCTTAGAATCCACAATTGAACAAATAGATACATTCGTCCTACATGACATCCTACATGACAATCTTGTGTCATACGTGGTGTCCTACATGTATTATGACATGTAAGACATGTGTGTCTACTTCTGCATATCTAAAGTTGAAGGGCATAATTACTAGCTAAAACCAAATTAAATGTCATGTTTATGTATTATACTCTTTTTTTCGTCATCTTTTTATATCTTTTGTTTCATGTCTTTGTTTGTATTTTGGGCTGGATCTATAATCTATTTGAAATGTGCTTTTTCTATTTCTAGGTCTCATCAGGAAAAAAATTTAGTTCAGCCATTGTTATTTCTAGCTCCCATTCATTATTTTTAAGAATTGATTTTCTTGAACTTAACCACTTTACCCCAACTATCATCAATTATAGACAGGTATATTATATTATAAAAGTTGATATGTGTCAGTTGTCAATTAATTTATTTTTCTACTCAATTAAATCATTTGTCAATACTCGACTACGTGTTCTGACAAAATTTTGGGACCATAGAGTAATTGGTTTTTAGTGTACCTACCACACATTTTATTCTCCACATGATTCACATGTGCGATTACCTGAATATATGGTCGTTGTTGGCCTTTTGGCCATACTCAATAAATGTTCTCTTTATTTCTCTCGTTTCAAAGTATTTATCCTGATTTCTAAGATGAATTGTCTCAAATTATTGTTATTTTAGAAATTTAAGATAATTAACTATTTATTTTCTATTTATTCCTATAGTAATAATTGTTCTTGATGATTACAATCTACAAATATGAAACACCTCAATTTATGTGTATTCTATTATATGAACACCTTTAAAGTTATAGTAATTGAAAGAATTGAGACTTAATCCTAAGTTTGAATATTATGAAGTATGACACTTGGTATATTAGTTAGTATCAAAACATAGAAAATTAATTATAAATTTTAGTGGGTTTTTGAGTCAAGGTGAGATATATAATGATATGGGTGTCTACAGATTTGTGTGCTTATGAATGTTGTATACTTGATAAATTGGAAACGTTTGGACGCAATGAGGAAATAAAAAACATTGGGGAATTAGCTTGCTCGACTTTCGTTCTTCAGTTGAGGTAGATTATCATGATGTATTCTATGTGATGAGAGACTCTCAATAGTATTGAGTGATATTGTGAAATTTTCTATGTACTTGGTTGTTGTGGTTTGAATAATTTATGTGTTGTATGTGATTTGCGTGTAATCCCAACACCGCAAAATCTATAATCTTGAACTTGTTCTATTAAAGTAATTCCTTGAATAAAGAAGGCTTGGTGAAATATTGTAATGAAGTGGAAAGCGATGAAAATAATGATGAATGTATTTGGATCGGGTGCCACGAGCCAGCATGATATATTTGGATCGGGTGCCATGAGCCGGCACGATATTATTGGATTGGGTGTCACGTTCCGACACAGTAACATTAAAAGAAAACATATAAAAGTAACTTAATGTACTCAATCTCAAAGAACCCAATTTCCAAAAGAGTGTGGTGTGGAGGCATGCGTCCTTATGTGTGTTCTTGATATTGTTGATTGATTACGTACTTGCTGCATTACCGTTGTCACTTGTTCATGTTGTTTGTTGTATGCCACCTGCTAAGTGCTATAGTTGATTTCATGTTCTCACTTTATGCATATTTGTTTCTATTTTGGGTCGGCCGATGATATCTACTCAGTACATGTTTTTTGTATTGACCCCTACTTGTGTTTCCTTTGTTTTTCCTTTTGTGGAGTGCAACAAGCATACCAACGACTTCGACTCGCCCTTAGCTCTAGCCAATCACCAACACATCAAATTTCAGGGTGAGCTATTCCTTCTAGCTCATGTTGAATTCTCTCAGTCATGGCATGATGTCCTTAATTTTTGAACATAGACTATTCTATTTATTTGTTCTGGTGTCTTTAATACGCTTAGACTTGGTATTTTGAGAGTAGATGACATTGATGTGATGACTTTCAGGTTTTGGGAAATCGATATGTAACTGACTATAAAGGATTTTTATTACCTACTTTATTAAGGTTTGAGCTTCTGCATTATGGTTGTATTTCGTAAGTTGAACAGCTAATATAAATTGGGGTTAAATTCGTTTGTTCGCCCACCTAGGAAGTTAAGTGTGAGTGCCACTCATGACTCGTTTTGGATCGTGACATAGATAAAAAAATTTAAAAATTGAATATTGATATGATATTGACATAATGATTTAAATATAATTAAAAATATCTAGTAAAATAATTTTAAAACCATTCCACAAATTAAATAATCACTACATACGAAAAAATCATCACAATAATTAAAAAATATATTTGTAAATATGCATATATGACAGTGATATTTTGATCAAGAAAGAATAATAATTTTCTGCTTCAGATATTTTTTAGAAGAAGAAACTTTTAGCTCCTTTCCAACCCAAATAAAAACATTTATGAGCTAGTTTGATATTTTTATTAGGGTACGAAACAGTGCCTCTGCAATTCAATGAATTAGGGTTTTCAAAGTTTTCCTTTTTTGTTTTTGTCTTTGTTTCCATATTTGATCGAATCCATTAGAATATTGGTCAATGATGGGCCCGTTTTGATTTTAATAAAATGACATTTTGGTCACTGTGGCAGTGGCCAGTGCAGTGACAGATGTTAGAAGACGGAGAGACAAGTTGAAGAAGTATCGGTGAAGCGATTAAATATGATGTGACACATCTTGATCTTAATTATTAATGACATTATTTTAGATGATAAATATAAAGAAATATGATTTTATTGATAAATAGTGGTGTATTTTTCAAACTTGAATGATTTGGGCTTGCTTTCTATAATATATCTGAGGGTCGTTAGTGGTGTATTTTTCAAATTTGAATGATTTGGACTTGATTTCTATAATATATCTGAGGGTCGTTAGTGACGTATTTCTCAAATTAAGGTGATTTGGACTTGACTTGATCTTCATAATTCGAGCATCGTTAGTGACATAATTCTCGAATTAAGATGATTTGATTTTGATCTCTTTATAAATACTTCATGAATTTGGAATATTTGAGATGCCACTTAAAGAGAATATAATATCATTTATATAGGCATGAACTAAGGTTTAGAATTGAGGAGCCTTCAAGAATCCTAATTGAAATTGAACACACTTTGTGAAGTTCCAACTCAAACGGAAGACATCTTGGAGAGTCCACAAAATTTCAGTATCTACAACTACCTCTATTAATTTGTATTTAATATTAACTTTTTTGAAATAATTTGTAGAATAAATAATTAATGCTAAAGATAAAAAAAAAAAAAAAAATTATTTTTCTAACTACGTTAAAAATGAATAATTTACCAACACGTGAAAAAATAGTGTTTTATTGAGGGGCTAATAAGAGATCTTTTTGTTCAGTCACTTTCCTATTTGGTGACCACTTGGTTTTTTTTTTTTTTTTTACATAATACATAAACATGACTCTTAACTTGGCTTTAATGATAGCTATGACTTTTATTTTTTGGTGTGTACAACTAAACATTTTAATTTGTATAAAATTGGACAAATAGACACATTCGTCCTATGTGGCAATTTTGTGTCATATTTGTGTCTACTTATTCAATTTTAAACAAGTTTAAGTGTCTACTTGTGCATATTCAAAGTTAAAGGGTATAATTATCAGCTGAAGTCAAATTAAATATCATGTTTATATATTATGTTTTTTTTTTTGGTCTTTTTATCTCTTTTGTTTCATGTCTTTTTTTTTTTTGGGTAACTAACATTTTATTAATTACCAGAGGCAAAACATTACAAATCAAGCAGCTATCACAGCATGCTTTGTTCTCAAAAAGTAAAACATCAAACTACCCTCTAACTCTACATCCTATTACTCAGAATTTAAATTCATTTACATACTAGCTGGAGCTCGAGCAATAGTCACATAGGCTATCTCCTTGGCTACATTTTCCTCCATTTTGCTCTTTTTCTCGAAAATTCTGTTGTTCCTCTCAATCCACAGCCCATAGATTCCTTCAGCCAATATAATCTTGAAAATTTGAGTTGTTTTAGTCTTCCCCTTCCCATGTTGAATACTCCATTGTATAAACTGTCCCCATGTCACTGGTACTACACTAAACTGATGACTCAATGTAAACAACCTTTCCCATAGCTTCCTAGCAAATTGGCATTGGATAATCAGATGCTCTATAGTCTCTTTTGCTTTCTTGCATAAAATGCAAGTCTTATTTACTTCCATACCCCATTTAGCTAGCTTGTCAACCGTTGCTAACTTCTTGTTAAGCATAAGCCACATTGTGAAGTAAGCTTTTGGCCTTGCTGCATTGTTGAACATGAGGCATTTCCAGTCAGGCCTTTGCAGCTCCCCTATCATATACAGATAAATTTGCCTGATCATACTACATTTCTTCTCCTGCATCAGATGGATTTGATCAATTGTATGTTTGGCACTCATTACTATTCTTATCATCCAGCTGGCTTGTTTGGCTTGCCAACTGCTCTGCCCCTTTATATAGTACGGATGTATCCATTTGATCCAAAGCGTGTCCTCTTTATTTGCTAAATCCCAGCACAATTTGGCCACAACAGCTTTGTTCCAGACTTGCATATTAATCAACCCCATACCTCCTGCAGATTTAGGACATCACACTTTCTCCCAGGCTACCAGGGCCTTTTTAGTAACATATCCCACACCTGACCACAAATAGCTTCTACATAGCCCCTCAATTAGTTTGATTATTTTTGCAGGAATGATGAACAGTTGTGCCCAAATAACACAGTTTGTACCAATTGTGTTCTACCTGCATATGATAATTTCCTAGTTGTCCATGAGCTAATCCTTGTCATGATTTTGTCAATGAGAGGATACCAATGGACTACTGTCAACTTCTTGGTTGAAAGAGGCACCCCAAGATACTTAAAAGGTAGTTCTTCCATTTTGTAGCCAAGTAGATGGTTGATTTGTTGCCTCACTTCTAGTTGGACTCCCCCACAATAAATTGAGCTCTTATTGAGATTTGCTTGCAATCCTGAGGCTTGTGAGACTTGTGAGAAACATCTTTGGTGGGCCTGGATAGAATTGAGATCTCCTCTATAGAATATTAACAAGTCATCTGCAAAACATAAGTGTGTGATGTCCAATTTAGAGCATTTTGGATGATACTTGAATGTTTTCTCTTCTTTGAGTCCCTTGAATGTCTTTTGTTTTGATTTTGGACTGGATCTATAATCTACTTGAATTGTGCTTTTTCTATTTCTAGCTCTCATCAGAAAATTAGTATACTGATGGAATATTTTTTTTAGTTCAGCCATTGTTACTTCTAGCTCCCATTCATTATTTTTTTTAAATAATTTTCTTGAACTTCAACCACTTTACCCCAACTACCATCAATTATAAATAGGTATATTATAAAAAAATTTACACGTGTCTGTTGTCAATAAGGGGTAGTTTGGTTACTGGTTAAAGTTATGCAAGTATTAGTTATGCAAAGTTTAGTTATGCAAGTATTAGTTATGCAGGGTTTAGTTATGCAGGTATTATTAGTTATGCATGGTTTAGTTATGCACGGTTTAGTTATGTGGATATTAATTATGTGAGTATTAGTTATGTAAGTATTACTTAGTTATGTAGAGATTACATCACATGAATTATTAACTATTGAATATTGATTTTAATATAAATTAATATATATTATTTACAAATAAAATAAGTAAGCAAATAGTGAGAGAAGACCCAAAATAGTCTCTCATCTTTGGGTTAAGACTCAAAGTCATCCTTGAGTTTTTACATAGAGCACTAATAGTCCCTCATGTTTGCAATATTGGTGCACTTTTGATCCTCCCCTTAACTTTTGCCATTTTTTTAACATTAATTTTGTTCATAAATTTTTTATTCTCCCTTAAAAAAAATAAAAAAATAAAAATTTCTCTATACTTAACTAGGAATTCTGTTTTTTGTTTCTCTTTGTTTTTTTAATATTTAAAGCTTATAAGAATAAAATACTTAATATATTTCAAGTACATTATACTATCCTATTTTATATAATGTAAATTTCTATCAATATGATGCATGTGTTGTTTGTACATTTTTAGTATACCAAATTTATAAATTATATATAGATTCACGTTCTAAATAAAAAATTAATACATGATAATTAAATATGTGGATATATTTAGTAATATATAATGCGAATATATAATTAGCATATGCACTATCAAAATTATACATTCCTATTTATAATATTAATAAATATTTATATTTTGATTTTAAATGAAAACAAATAAAAAGTTGTTTGTATACAAAAAAAAACAAGAAACAAAAATAGTTGGGAAAATAGAATAGTAATGTAAAGTTTTCAATAAAAAAGATTTAAAAATAAATTAATAGGGATAAATGTGTAATTTATCTTTTTAATACATGTACAACTAATACCCACATAACTTATTTCACCTTCTATCCTGCATAACTTATACATAAATTCCCTCATAAGTTATGTCGGTATTAATTATGTAGGATTACAAAAAATGCAACCAAACACCGTATAAAATTAATACATGAATAACACATGAATCTTATCTAGATGCATGTATGCTATATATTAGTGACATGATTTTTGAAGATATCATAGCAAAAAACTTCAAATCAAATAATGGACTCTAAGTCTCTTACAAAGATTAACATTCTTTCCAAGGATATCATAAGATCCTTCCCCACTTCAAATCATGATAATAATGTTGATCACCCCAAAAATTACAAATTATCTTTCTTTGATCAAATTGCTCTCCAAATGCACGTCCCTTGCGTTCTTTTCTATCCAATCAAATATTCCACCTTTCCTAAAATTTCCATTATACATGATGAAGGTGTTTTGTATATAAAGTGAAGGTGTTTGATGGTCAATCAATCAATTAACATGATGAAGGTGTTTTGTATATAAAGGCAAAAGTTGATTCTCAATTTTGTGATTTCCTCAAGGATGCACAAAAAGATATCGACTTAACTTTAAATTTTTGCCCAAAAATCAATCATAGAGTTTCTAATTTGTCTATCACTCCATTAGTTGTAGTGCAAGTGACGGAGTTTACTTGTGGTACAGGGCTAGCTTTATCTATGAGCACTGAACACGCGGTTATTGATGGTTTCACAGCATTGAAATTTATTTATGAGTAAAATGGGAATTAATATTCATTCCGATACGATCAATTGCTTCACCTTTGATGATTTTGGTACTATTTTCCCACCAACAAGTGATAATGATTTGTTAAAAAGAGTCAAGCCTCCTAGAGATGATCATTATCATGATTTTGCTCAAATGGTTGCGAGGAGGTTTGTCATAAATCAATTTGTGAATTGTGATATCAAAACTTAGGGAAAATGTTGGAGTGGTTTATTTCAAACCATCACGAGTTGAGTTGGTGATTGTTTTTCTATGGAGGACTCTAATCAATATTTCTCAACGTAAAAATAATAGACGCTTGAGACCTTGTTTATTTAGTGTCCCTGTGAATTTACGTGGTAAGATTGACTTTCCAAAATACGAAAACTCCTTTGGAAATTTCGCTCTTGAAGTCCCAGTCAAATTCATACCGGGAGAAACAGGAATGGAGTTACAAGACATTTTACTATTGATAAAGGATGTAATACAAAAAACCAATGTATCAGTTGTGAAACCAAGTGATGACATATATTCCCTAGCATCCAAGTTTCATGAAGAAATACAAAAATGGGAAGAAAATGAACAAGTGGATGTGTGCATGGCATCAAGTTGTGTAGGTTCCCTATTAATGAAGTTGATTTTGGTTGGGGGAAACCTTGCTTGACAAGTTTAGGATTGAGACGTAGTGAGACAAGAAACGTACAAGGATTCCCTTAATAACGGCGAGCGAATCGGGAACAACCCAGCCTTAGAATCGGGCGGCTCCGTCATTCGAATTGTAGTCTAGAGAAGCGTCCTCAGCGGCGGACCGGGCCTAAGTCCCTTGGAAGGGGGCGCCAGAGAGGGTGAGAGCCCCGTTGTGCCCGGACCCTATCGCATCACGAGGCGCTGTCTACAAGTCGGGTTGTTTGGGAATGCGGCCCAAATCGGGCAGTGAATTCCGTCCAAGGCTAAATACGGGTGAGAGAAAATAAATCATTTATTTTTTTAATAATTCAAAACTAATATTATCTATTAAAAATCTTACTCTTTATTTTTCATATCTCGTTGTTAATTCACCAAAGAATGATGAAATCTTGAAGTATAATTGAATTTCCTCTTCCTCTTTTTTTTTTGTTCGTTCACTTTCTATTAAATAAACATGAACATTCAAGCAAAATTTCACGTAGTTTGATTTTAAAAAATTTAGTATATTGTTTAATTAAAAAGAAATTGTTAATGTTACGTTGTTTGATTTACAAAGTTTTAGTGCACCCTTCGTCAAATTAATTTTTATACCTATGCGATTCTTAGACACTCTTCGTGAAATTTTTGGCTCTGCCACTGCCTTGGGGCACCCCGAAATCTTTTCTGAAAGAACTTTATGAGGACATCCGTAATGAGTTGGGGGAGCATTACGTGTAGTCCCACCATTTTAAGGCATATTTTCAAATTTACAAGCCAACTTTTAGGAATCAAGGGATTCTGTTGGTTTTTCGTGTGTATCATAGATTTGGCGCCTCCAGGCACCCCAAAATTTTTTCTAAATTTTTTTTTATGAGGATCTCCGTAATGAGTTGGGGGAGCATTACATATAGTCCCACCATTTTTTTATTTTTGCATTTGTCAGCCAACTTTTAGGAAGTACGCGACTTTCTTGGTTTTTCGTGTGTATTAGCTAATGGATTTGGCGCCTAAGGGCATCCCAAATTTTTTTCTAAAAAAAATTATAAGGACCTCTGTAATGAGTTGGGGGAGCATTACGTATCGTCCCACCATTTTTTATTTTCGCATTTACGAGCCAACTTTTAGGAATTACGCGACTTTCTTGATTTTTCATGTGTATTAGCTCATGGATTTGGCGCCTTGGGGGACCCCGAATTTTTTTATAAAAAAAACTTTATGATGACCTCTGTAATGAGTTGAAGGAGCATTATGTATAGTCCACTACTTTTTAAGGCATATTTTTTCGCATTTACGAGCCAACTTTTAGGATTTACGCGACTTTCTTGATTTTTCATGTGTATTAGCCTATGGATTTGGCGCCTTGGGGGACCTTGAAATTTTTTCTTAAAAAACTTATGGGAACCTCTGTAATGAGTTGAGGGAGCATTATGTATAGTCCTACTATTTTTTAAAGCATATTTTTACATTTACAAGCCAACTTTTAGAAATTATGCGACTTCTTTATTTTTTTCGTGTGTATTAGCCCATCGATTGATGCCTTGGGGCACCCCAAAACTTTTTCAAAAGAAACTTTTTGAGGACCTCCGTAATAAATTGAGAGAACATTACATATAGTTCAACCATTTTTGGGACGGAGAGAGTACTAAGAAATTAAGTAAAGTCTAGGAAGGCAGTTCAATAGTAAAACGAATAAATTTTTTACTCTAATATTTTAGACTTTGAATAAAATTATTAAAATCTTTGTAACATTAAATAAAATTTGTTATAAATCAATGCAAGACAATATATTACATACGTGTCA